TTCAACTCCCAGAATTCTGGGAGTTGAAGCCCACACATCTTAAAGTTGCCAAGGTTGAGAAACACTGGTCTATAGCCTTGGTAGTCTCTGGTACCCTCCCATCCAAGTGGTAACCCTGTTTAGCTTCTGAGCCCCAACAAAGTCAGTTAAATGCTGCCACCTGCTGATATATTTTGGAAATAAGTGCTTCTACGTAATTCTCTGTGAAGAGCATGGTACTAGTGCTTTTCAGTTGGTCTAACATAGTCCCTGAGACTGAGTAGTGCCAGAGCTTCAGGAAGTGGCCTTAGACAAGCACATTTGGCTTCTGGGAATAATTTATATTGATTTACTTGACAGGGTTGTAGTATAGATTATTGATATAAACTGCATAAAGGGCTTTCAACATTTTAACGTGCCATATTAATGCTTATGTATATTGGAACACATTTTTGTAACTGGTGCTTTTTCAGAATTTGAGCGGGCAATGAGGAGCTTATGCCTTGTTTTTGGCAATCACAGTTGGTTCATTATATTCTCAACAGTCTTCAAGGTGTGGTCTCGAAATATGGTCTTGCATTATGCTTTATGAATTCAGCAATGCACAGCTGGTCTATGTTTCTCCAAATTATGTGTATGTGTGTGTATTTTTTTCCTGGGTCATTTTAATTTCTCTTTTCACAGTAGGCTGTGTGCTGTTGCTGTAGTTTCTACTTCCTGGTTGATTTGGCATGTCAGATAGGGTAGCGTAGTTCCCAGGTAGTCCCACTCCCAGACAATACTACAATTGATAGGGATGTCCTGGACATAAGTTGCATGCAGAATTGTTATCGCAGAATATTGCATTATGGATTGCTCCCTCTTCAGAACACTGTAACTCCATTCCATTTGCTTTCTCCCTCTACTTTTCTGAGTCCCAAAGACACAGAGAATCTTCTCCTCTCGCCCCTTCCCCCAGTGGCCAGTATTTCATGATCACCAAACATACTCAGTCCTCATTGAACTATTCTGAGATTTCTTTCTCCTCCCTCCTCTTCACCCCCTCCTTTAAAAAAAGTAAAAAAAAAAAATCTAAATCCTTTTGTACCTTTATGAACCTCAGAATTCTCCAGAACTTGCTAATTCCGCTTTTCTGTGGGTGACACTCTTTGTCTAAATAAGCAATGCCATGTACAATCTGGATGATGGAAATAAAAGGAATGATATGATTTCTTAGGCTGAGGTGATGTTTGATCTGTGCAACTTATTCTTCATTTTCAGACTCATAACCACTCAAAGTGCATCAGGCCACCACTTTTTCCCTATACTGTGTCACCCCAAAAAGCAGTTTTCTACCTGAAAGGATCCTTTGTAAGTAATTGAGTCATACTGTGTTGGGTGCCTTAGAGAATAAATGGTCAAAACAGGATCAGGCAATACTTTGTTTAGCCTTTATAGCAATTGTAATGATTGGTATTTTTGAAGTGATTGTGTAGCTGAATGTTACATATAACTAATTCAAAGATAAGCTCCATTCCTATGCACCTAGTCTTATTGGCTGTTGTCAGAAATTGTCCATGAACAAATAAACATGATGCAGTCTAGATTCATGGTGCTTCAGTGTTTGGCTGCCTATGATCTGGTTATAGTCCTAATTTCTGCTACAACTCAGATTTCTATTTACTTCAACATGAATTAAAGTATGGTTAATTGATTATTAATTAATTCAATTCTGCTGCTGTGGTTCCACTTAAAAATTAATTATTAACTTATTAATCAATTTAAATATTTATTTTAAACTGATTAATAAGCTAATAATTATTTTTTTAGTGAAAGGAACAAGTACCCAAAATTTCCCTGTTCAAGTTAGGTCTTTCTAATAATAATGGGTTTAATTTTTCTCATTTTAAACAGTATTATGAGGCTTATTTATTAACCTCAATCATGCATTGGAATGCAAACAATATTGAATAAATACCATTGTGGGCTCAGCTTGAATGTTATCTATCTTGGCAACTATACTAGTTATAATTATACTATAAGAGTGATTTTTCTTTTCTTATTTTAAAATGGCTAGTAATACACTTTTTAAAGAAATCATGGACTCATAATGGAACCATTACCCTTAATCAACTGTTAAGTAATGGTACTTTTAAAAATTCTGAGATTCTACAAAAGGATTTTTAAATGGCAATAAATACCATTAAAATATTTGTTATCTACACGGTTTGCTATTTTGCCCTAGTATTAAGGGATATTTCAGAGATTATTTTTTTTTAAAGTTTGGGTCTGTTTCTATGCTGGATTTGTAATAAATGTGAAGGAATTTTGGTAAATATGTAATTCCTTATTGGTTATATATAGCCATGGCAAACCAGATTCGTTAAAGGCAGCTAAGGATTAAAAACATCAATGTATTGTTAAATTATCTTTCAAAAATATGGAAATGTTCAACCTGAGAAGAACTTTGGATTGTACCTAGATTGTGGCAAAAAAGATGATCACGTAGTCATGGAAGAATGGTTGAATTCCAAACTGTAAATGTTGGTTTTATGAAATTTGTCAACTCTGAAGCCTTTGAATCAGCTTTGTATCAAGAGGGAGGCAAGACCGGACAATATGATTCCATATGGTCTAGGTTCAGTTCGTCATAAAAAATTGAATTACATTGAAAAATTGAAGAAAGTTATGTAATTTCAATAGTTTGATATCTATCAATCTATATAAAAAGGTATTTAGGTGATTTGCTTTGTTATGTTGACTTCCTAGTTTAGTTTTTTTTTTTAATTATTATTTTCTGCTGCTGTGCCAGGACTGTGGTGGCTGAGATTAAAGACCTATCTAGTCAGCATCCAGTGGGTCATAGTGGCTAAAAAGATACCAGTGGGTAGCCCACACAGAGGATATGAGCACAGTGGAATCCTACTGCTCATGATCTATCTGGTAATTAATAATTAGAGACACAACAACCCTGGTACTGAAATGAATATACGGTCATCCTGACTAGTAGACATTGTTAGCCTTCTCCATGCATTTGATTAATTTCCTTTGAAAACCATCCAGGTTGATGGCCATCAATATTTCTTGTGGGTTCAACTATTCCATACCTAGACATTTATACTGAATGGTAGCATGTACCATAAATTATAATTCTCAAGGAAATTGCTGAGTATGTGTAGTTTTAAAAGATAGGACGATTAAAAGATCTGTAGTTTTGAAAGATAGAATAAGATAGATCTACTTTCATAGAAAAAGTAGGGGTCTATATATTACTTAGTACCCTTGTCTAATCTGATAATTGCCCAAAGTTTAAAATAATAGAATATTATTTGTTCTATTTTCATTAGATTTATAATGCAGACCAGTCAAATATTTGCAGAGCATATTAGCATCCCATTGCATATTTCTTCTTAGTATATACTTTTTTTGTGTTGCACAGAGAAGATAAAGGGAGTTCATTCCTCAAAATTCTAGCTTGGGTAACTTTGTTGAAAGAATCTGGTTCTGCTTCTTTTCTCTCATTGGAAACCATTGTTTGTGCTAAACTGATTATGTACAGTCTTGCATTAGTTTGTCTGATTTGCACACATCCATACATTGATGTTAATGCAGAAATAATTGAATTCTTGTTATTCTGTTTTGTCATATTACCAAAATTTATCAAATTATTTTATTCTGTCTTGAATGCTGCTCTGCAAACCTGCCATTTAGAAGGGATTTGATGAGGTGAAGGTGTTCCTCTGTGGATGCATATGTGTATATAGAAAGTTTTGTAGACCTTGAAATGGGAAATTTTAGATAAATGAGTAATAATAGCTCCTCAGAGGCTGCCTTGGATCTACTGGATCCATAACTTGTGAGAGGACTTGGTGTTAACAAAAATGTCCTGGAGAGATCAAAATCAACAAAGATAATTTAGGCCTCTATTACAGGGGGCTGTCCCCATCTCCTGACTGACTGATTGCCTCTACTTTGTTCCTCTCATTTAGGGTTGTTCCATCTATGCAGAATCAACTTATCCTCTTAGAATGATTACCTCATGTCATGCTGTATCATCTTTCTCTCTGGCTGGGCATTTTGGGAGCCATAGCCCCAAAACATATAGAGGGGATGAGGCTTGATAGAGGTTTTGAGTGGAACAGTGGACATCTTTGACAGTTAAAAAAGATTTGAGATGTTATAAAGAAAAGCTAATATGATTTTTTTTTCTCCTCAGAGCAAGTTGAAATCTCTTCAGATGTGGTATTCCAAGCTTGAATTTTCTACTGCCAATTCTACGTTATTTCAGTCACTTGGGCCTAAAAATGTGAGTGTGCCATAAATTATAGGGTTAATATGACTGTGATAGAGTTGATGGATACTGCCTTTAAGAGTCTATCTGAAGAACTAAAGGTATACAAAGGAAGAGCTTTTGCCTGCCTATTTTCTTCTACAAAGCTGCTTCTGTAACAAAAGCGGAAAGCTGTTTAAGTAGGAGGAGTCTTATGAAGTTTCCATGTCTGAAATGCATGCATCTCATCTTGTCACTGCAGGCACCATATTTCTCCTTTTAATGAGGCAACCAGAACTGAGAGAAGAAATGTGAGCACTCTCAGTTCCTCTCTCCCACTCAGAGCTGTAGTGTTGTTTCAATTATATAGCATGTTATTGTGCTATACGTAGCTCTTTTTGAGTGGCATAGCTCCATCTGCAGATGAAGAAAAAAAATGCAGTTTGAGTTGAATCAAGTGGGAAATTTCTAGCTTCAATTGATACTCCTCTGTGTTGCATGTGGCTCAGGGTTCATACTTTTTTTGCACTCCTGTTTCACAGCATATGTTTGATGCCTCATGATGGAACTGTAAGGCCTATTTATTTATTTAAATTTATCATATGCACCCAACTCCAATGGATGCTGGGCGGCATACAAAACCAAAAATTTAATCTGTCTATAACTCCTTATAATGTCACAGTAAATTGCTGATTTGGGGATACTGTATGGCTAAAGCTTAGTAAAACATTTGGAATAATACATAGTTTGAATAATTTGGAATAATATAGTTTGAAGCTAGAGCCCTATTCTTGTCAGTGTTGCAAGAATGAATCCTTTCCAATATACCCACCCTGAAAAATATCCCTGTATTTGCTGTTACTAGTGAGTCACTTGGCTTCCTTCTTGCTATGCAGATCTGTGAAGGCATGTTGACCCTGAACTTGGGCTTGGATGAGATCTATACTTTGACAACTGTAACAACTGGCCATAAAAGTCCTTTCTCAGAACCTCCTCCATCTCAACCTTTTCCATTCACTTACAAAGATGATTTCAATATCCGTAAGTCAACATAAAGCTATTTTGAGGGAACTCCTTATTTGATGATCCTAGGCTATCAGTCATCTTTGTCAAGAATGGGGCCCTCATCAATAATATAAATTCTCTAACATTCCTGATAGTTAATGAACAGAAACCTATAATAGTAAATACAGGAATCAATAGATTGGGAGAATCTATTGATATCATTAAGTCTAATCCCCTGTCTGGGACAGGAATCCAAATTAAACCATCCATGATAGATAACTGTTCAGTTCTGCTTGATGATTATTGCTGCAAATTGGGCACTCCATGCACTTGTTCACTGAATTGCTTTCTGTAGCTTTCTAGTTTTGAAAAAGCCTTAGTTTGGTGTAAGCTCAGTGTAAATCATGAACACTGAGATCTGAACTCACCAGAGTTCCCAATCACATGCAGATTTCAGTTGACTGTTCTTGGTGGCCTTTCTATTTTTTCATTTAGTTTGATAACGATGAAGAGATGACCAGTTAAGACAGTAAAAATGAATTTTTCAGTATGTATGGCAATTAACTACTATAATGTATGTTTTTTTGGAACTAAGAAATTGCTGCTTTTGTATAGTGTGAACACCTGTGATTGTGAGGGATTGAAATAATAAAATTTATGTTCTTCAAATAGGCAACCCACCTTTCAGTGAAGCACCATACTTTGCTGATCAAACAGGAGTGTTTGAGTATTTTATTAATGCTTCAGATCCAGGGGAGCATGTCTTTACACTCCGACAAGTGGTGACTCAGAGACCTATAACCTGGGTTATAGATGCAAAGAACACAGTCAGCACTATAGGCAACTATAAGTGGTATGTAGTGAATATAGTACCTTGTATTCACAGTTTAGTCCAAAGTTTACTATGAAATGTGGTCACAACAGTGAACTTAGAGTTGCAGAGAAGAATCCTTTCTGTTGACTTGCTTATTGTGGTTATTTTTATTTTATTTTATTTTAATTTAATTTAATTTAATTTAATTTAATTTCATTTCATTTCATTTCATTTCATTTCATTTCATTTCATTTCATTTCATTTCATTCAATTTATATAGCTGCCCATCTCACTTACATGACTCTGGTGGCTCAGAAGTTAAAACAGCAAAGACAAACTCATAGAAATAAAGTAAAACAATTAAAACTATTAACCAGAAATAAAAACTTGTGGAAGAGTGCCAACCTACAACTTACAGACAATACAGCCATCTTGCAGGGCCCCCACATCCATGGGATCCCCAGGCCTGATGGCACAGCCATGTCTTCAGGGACTTCCTAAAAGCCAACAGGCTTGGCGACAATCTATCCTCAGGGGGGATAATGTTCCAGAGGGCAAGTGTCACAGCAGAAAAGGTTCTCCTGGATCCTGTCAGATGGAACTCCTTTATAGATGGGACCCATAACATGCCCTTTCTGCTGCGTCTGAGTTGTCATCATGCTTATGTAGAACTAGTGCTATGTAATAATGTTTTTAGTGTGATCCAAGATTGCCACCTACTTCCTCCTTCTATGTAATGAGAAGCTGATGAGCATAAGCCATTGCTAAAAGAGAACTGAACAGATTTCCTATGAAGAAAATTGTCCTAGCCAGTATTCTTGAAAGTAGGTGTGTTACAAGAATATGAATTATACTTCAAAGTATGAATTACTTGCTCTCTTGGGTACTGGAGCCTTGCAAATAAACTTGCTGTATATAAACCTACTTAATTTATTTTAAGAGACTGTGGTGCCCTTCAGTTTAAAAAATGAATACAGAATGGTTTACAAATAAATTTATAAAGAACAATCAGATAATTGCTTATTCTCTTCCCTACTATTCTTTCCCTTGACCTCATCTTTGGTGCTGTTTCTTCCTTGGAGCTATACCAAACTAGAAAAGAATGCACCTGGAAATCAAGTGGGGGCCCATATAGCTAGGATAGCATGGTAGCCAGAGAAATAGAACATTAGAACATTAAATAGAAATAGAACATTAAATAGAGCATTATATTTTTGGTTATCCTTTTAGATTCATTTCTCTTAGAGAGACTGATAGTTGCATCTCTGTTGCTCTGCTGCTCTTAGAGGTACAGTTTTTCCAATTTTATAATGATGATGATGCTGTCTGTTCAGTTGTGGCCGATTCTTGGCAATTCTATGGACTAGCTCTCCACCTTTTCCAATCTTGTATGGCTTCTTTCAGTTGTTTTATGCTCCGGATGGTGTCAGCTTTGATGGTGTCTAGCCACCGTGATTTTTCCAGTGAGAAAAATCTCATGTTATCTCATGACATCTCATGACATGGCCAAAATAAGTAAGGTGGAATTTTGTGATTTTGCCTTCCAGCAATATGTCTGGTTTTATATGCTCCAGAACTTGCTTGTTTGTCACCTTTGCTGACCAAGGAATGTGCAGGAGCCTTATCCAGCACCACAACTCGAACTTGTTGATTTTCCTCCTGTCTAGTTTTTTCATGCTGACCAAGGAATGTGCAGGAGCCTTATCCAGCACCACAACTCGAACTTGTTGATTTTCCTCCTGTCTAGTTTTTTCAAGTAAGGTGGAATTTTGTGATTTTGCCTTCCAGCAATATGTCTGGTTTTATATGCTCCAGAACTTGCTTGTTTGTCACCTTTGCTGACCAAGGAATGTGCAGGAGCCTTCTCCAGCACCACAACTCGAACTTGTTGATTTTCCTCCTGTCTAGTTTTTTCATGGTCCAACTTTTGCAACTGTAGGTAGCTATGGGAAACACAATAGTGCTGACTAATCTGCATTTTGTTGCCAGGCTGGTGTCCTTGTTTTTCCATGTTTGATTCATGCTCATCATTGCTGTGCGATCTAGTGCAATTCAGTGCTTTATTTCTGGACTGCATTCACTGCTTTGATCGATCTGTGATTCTAGGAAAGTCATTTCTCGTACACATTTGATCTCTTCATCATCAGTGGCTATTTTGACATTTCCATTCCTTGCAGTGGTCATGGGCTTGATCTTTTTGATGTTTAAGAGGAGGCCAAATTTCTCCCTTTCTTCTTTAATCCTTTTGATCAGACGTTTCAGGCTTTCTTTTGTTTCTGAGAGGAGGGTTGTGTTGTCAGCATATCAAAGATTGTTGATGTTCCTTCTTCCAATCTTTATTCCAGTTGTTGATTCTTCAAGTTCCAGCTCCCAGTTGATCCTGCAAGTTCCAATTGATCACTTTAGCATACAGGTTGAATAAGAAAAGTGAAAGAATGCAACCTTGCTGCACTCCTTTCTCTATCTTGAACAAATCATTGTCTTCATATGGTGTTCACACAGTGGCTTCCTGATTTGCATACAGTGACTGCACCAACTAGACCAGATGTGTTGGCACCCCTAGGTCTTCTAGGGTTCTCCACAGCTTGTCATGATCGACACAATCGAATGCATTCTTGTAGTCAATAATGCAGATGTAGACGTTCTTTTGATATTCTTGAAATTTTTCCGTGATCCAGGGTAGATTTGAAATATGGTCATGGGTGCTATGATCCCTTCTAAAGCCAGCCCTGATAATTTCCTTTTGATAGTCAGCTCAAGACATTGTTGTATGTTCTTAACAAGAATCTTGCTAGTGTGTGGGATGACGGCAATTATTCAATAATTGGAGCAGTCCTTGGAGTTGCCCTTTTTTGGCAATGGAATGAATGGTGATTGTTTCCAATCCTGTGGCCATGTGTTCATTTCTCAACCTTTCTGGCACAAGGTGTTCTTGACACCTTGTTGGTCAGATAGTTCTTTCCCTTGCTTGTTTTTGATGATGCTTTTTTGAGCAGAAAACAGTGTTTAAAAAGTAAATCCCTTGACTTGTGCAAAAGCATTCCTGATGTGGCTCTTTGTGCAGTCCTCTTCTATCTGCTTGCAAAATTGGTCCCAGTAAACTTAGTTGTCTTTGCTTGCTGCTCTTTGGAAATCCGCATTCAATCTCCTTGCTTCCTCCCATTTGCCTGCTGCTTTGGCTGCTTTTCTTTGCTTGGCTATTCTGATGGTTTCATCTG